GCACTACAGGCTATCCCTGCAACAGCCAGCCCCAATCCCACTTTTGCCTTGTTTGTTGTAGGTTAGAAGTGTCAGTTTTTCCCAGCCCCTCTTGAAGTTAGGGATGGGCCTGTGGCCTAGTTCTAGCTGAAAGGAAACCTGCTGGGGGCTTCCTTGATAAGGGAGGGCGACACAAAGAAACAAGTCCCTTTTCCTTCCAATCCTTCTTTCCTGCTTGGAATGCTGGTCGTTTAAGGGCTTGATAACGGGCGCCTGGGTGGCTCAGTCAGCTAGGCGACTGCCTTCGGCTCAGGTCATGATCCTGGAGTCCCGGGATCGAGTCCTGCATCGGGCTCCCTGCTCAGCGGGGAGTCTGCTTCTCCCTCTGACCCTCCTCCCTCTCGTGCTCTCTGTCTCTCATTCTCTCTCTCGCAAATAAATAAATAAAATCTTTAAAAAAAAAAAATAAGGGCTTGATAACTTGGAACAACTGCAGCCTTTTTGCCACCATGAGGGGAGAAATCACTAACAAGCTGAGCATGGCAAAGTGGGATACGGGGAGAGTCTGGTCCACAATAACTTGGTTATCAAGCAACAGCACCAGCTCTGGAACTGCCCACTTTAAGTCTTGTTCCGTGATAAGTTTCTAACATTTGTACCATTTTTAGTTGAGTATTCCATTACTTATTAATAATGGTAGCAAATACTTATAAGGTACTTGACAGTGTGCCAGGCACACTTTTACATTTACGAACTCATTTACGAACTCATTCCTATTAACAGCCTCATGAAGAACTTCTTATTTTGCAAGTGAGGAAATTGAAGCACAAGAGGTTTAAGTGTCTTGCTTAGGGTCACCTCCCCAGGTAATCTGGCTCCAGCATTCCCACTCTACACATTCTTTTAACTGGAAATCATGCACAGGGTAACCAAAAAAGAGGTTTGCAATAGATGACACATATTCTAGATAAAAGCTTTTAAATGGTGTTGAACCAAACCATTCAAATCTCTTTAAAGAGATTTTTTTTTTAAAGATTTATTTATTTATTTTGAGGCGGGGGGGCGGGTAGAGAGAGAGTGTGCTCGCGTGCACACGAGTGGGGGAGGGGCAGAGGGAAAGACTCCCAAGCCCCGCTCAGGACTTGATCCCACAATCCGTGAGATCGTGACCTGAGCTGAAACCAAGAGTTGGATGCTTAACCGACTGAGCCACGAAGGTACCCCTCAAAGAGCTTTTAAGTGATGTTTTACCTTGAGCCCAGAGCCTGGCAGTTAAGATCAGCGGTCTCGTTCCGGGGTAGGCTTCATGCACTTTGTCAGCCGCTCACATCCGGTCTTCTTGTTTGGGCACTGACCACCTGTGCCGATGTCAATGGCGATTCTTCAGTCAGGAGCACACTGGAGTCGAGATCCCATCCTATTCTGTGTTAACCTCGGTCACCAGTACCACCAGCCACCCAGTCTCCCTTGTACTGAGCAACTTCAAAGGCACACTCTATTTCTGCCTCCCCCTCAGCCTCCACATCCAGTGTTTACCACATATTATCTCTTCTCTTTCAGAAATGCTTCTCAAAGTCAGCTCTTCCCACTGCTACCTCCTATTTGGTCTCCTAACCTGTTTTTCCTCACTCCCAAGTTACACACTACCTTCACACAACCTCCCGTTACCTTAAAAGCACAACACACACGAACACACGTGGGGCGCCTGGCTGGCTGGCTGAGTCGATGGAGCAGGTGACTCTTGATCTCAAGGTTGTAAGTTCAAGCCCCATGTTGGGTGTAGAGATTACTTAAAAATAAAACCTTGGTGCGCCTGGGTGGCTGGCTGAGTCGATGGAGCAGGTGACTCTTGATCTCAAGGTTGTAAGTTCAAGCCCCATGTTGGGTGTAGAGATTACTTAAAAATAAAACCTTGGGGCGCCTGGGTGGCTCAGTTGGTTAAGCATCCGATTCTTGATTTCGGCTCAGGTCATGATCTCAGGGTGGTGGATCAAGCCCCGCATCAGGCCCTGCACTGGGCGTGGAGCCTGCTTAAGATTCTCTCTCTCCTTCTCCCTCTGCCCCTCCCCCCCCTCGCTCGTGCACACTCTAAATAAACAAATAAATAAAATCTTTTGAAAAATAAAAATAAGTTAGAAGCACAACACACACAATATATCACACACTACACCCGTGTGGCCCCCTGTTGACTACAGGGGTGACTCCCCACTGAGTGTGGTACAACAAGGCTCCCCATGCTCTAGCCCCAAACTATCTGTCCATCTACCTTCCCTCCCCCAAAATCTGGGCTGCAGCTACACATCTCTCTTTGCTATTTCTCGAAGGTGCTAGGTACTTTCATGAGCCATGCTGTTCCCTCTGTTCATAAATACCCTTCTCTTTTTTTCACCTGGCAAATTTCCACTCATCTCTCAAGACTCAGCTCAAACATCGCCTCCACCACAGTCTTCCCAGAGTCTCCCAGGAGAGTATTCTTCCTCCCAGATTCCTGGCATGGCTGTTGATTTATACTGTTAGCAAGACTCTCACATATAACATATCAGTTTATATATTCCACCACTGCACTGATATGTTAGAGAACAATGTTATTCTGAGTCCCCCATTCTTAATAATGGGCCTGACACAGAGTAGACACATGATAAATGATCATGTGTGAACTTTAAAGCCTGTTTGTTACAGTTCATTCCTTTCAGCGGTGGACGGTAACACGATCGGCTGTACATGGAACAGCTTCTATATCATGGAGACAAAACCCAGTCCAGACCCCACTTACGTGCCTTTTTTGGGAGAATGGGATACAATCCAGGTATACAGCATTGAAGTGTATACTTTTATTTTAACCAAGACCATGTGCTGAGGATAAGCATTTTGGCTTTATTTCTCTCTTTAGAGCCGAGGTAGTACACTTTACTCAGCCTGTAGAGAGGGTGAGCTGACAGAATTTGTTTTTGTTTGTGCTCTTACATTTTTGGTTAATTTATTTTTTAAATTATTTTTTTAAGATTTTATTTATTTGTCAGAGAGAGAGAGCACAAGCAGGGGGAGGGGCAGAGGAAGAGGGAGAAGCAGGCTTTCTGCAGAGCAGGGAGCCCGATGCGGGGCTCGATCCCAGGACCCTGGGATCATGACCTGAGCTGAAGGCAGATGCTTAACCGAATGAGCCACTCAGGGTCTCTATTTTCGGTTAATTCTTTTAAAGGTAACTTTTAGAGTACCTCTACAGCCACAATCAGGCTAGAATCTAAGCTATCTGTCCCCAAATTATGATGTTGCTTAGCAAAAGAGTCAAAACTGAAACCAAGAGCTCTAGCCTTCAGATTCAATATTCTCTCCACCACACTGTACTACTTCAGCAGGAATGTGTCCCTATAGAAATAATGCATCTAGTATCACACTCACCCAGACGTTAAGGAAGGGGGGAGGTCCAGTTTTTTAAAAAAATATTTTATTTTTATGTAATCTCTATACCCAACATAGGACTCAAACTTACAGCCCTGGGATCAAGAGTTGCACGCTCTACGGACTGAGCCAGCCAGGTGCCCCAAGGTGGGGGGGGCGGGGAGGGTGCCCATTTGAGTTTGAATCTCATTGTACATTATGCAATTTATAATGTCTTTAGTCATATTTGCTTGCCATCTTTTCTCAAAGCGAAATATCCATTTACATTTAAATAATCGAAAATAAGGACACATAGGACTTGTTAAAAACTAAATTCTGTCTCAATGATTATATTAAAATACTGTCTTTATCAAGGGTCAACAAAATTACCTATGCAACCTTCTGTATTCATCTTTTTACATGGACAATTTGTCTTCCCAGCAGTATGGGAAAGTGCCTGGAAGATTCGCACTTCTCTTACATTTCTTTTTTATCTGTTAGTGTCATTTCTTGCTTGTCACCTGTGGCTAGAGGCTCAGGCCTATTTTTTTTTTTTCCTCACTAAGTCCTAATTGCAGTGCATTAAAGGATAAGAAAAATACAGTTCAGAGAATTGAAGGACTTGCCCAACCTTGTCTTCTGCCTTTCCATCCTTGCTTTTTCTGCTGCAACAACTCCTGCTGGCCTGTGCATTGAATCAGTGGTCAGTAAGCATCTGTTACTTGTAACATCTTGCAGACTTCTGAACTCTAAGGCTTAGGGCCTATCTTTTGTGGGATGAAGGGAAGCCCGAATACAGCTAGACAAAAATGATAAAAATTAGGAATGGTGGTGGGCTCTTCCATACTTTTGGCCTGTGCCGCACCCATCTGTCTTGTTCTTGTCTCCTCCCTCCCCAGCACCGCCCTCAGCTCCTCAGACCCTGAGAGCAGCATCCCCCTCCCCCACCCCCCCAGAATCCCCTCTGCCTTCTGTGGCATGGCTCCCATGGGAAATGGGAAGCTTGAGCTGCCTGCCTCCTCAAAGCCTTGACCTGTTCTTACAGTCACTGAAAGCCACGCGCTTACAGAATCAGAGGAAAACCTTACCAGCTATCACAACACATACCTGACCCTGCACATCGGTGGGCCTTTTAATGCAGGCTCCTGCATAATCAACTTAAAAAAAAAAAAACGAAAAACCAAGAATGAAGAAATCTGAAAGGATAATGTGGAAGGAAGAGAATTTGGAGCTAGCGTATATACATTTATAAGTGAGGGAGGGAGGGAGAGTGGGGGAAAGAGAGGGTTCCAGGGACTGGGCAGATGAACCCTGAGCCAGCGAATCGATGTCATTGGTTTACATTTTTTTTTTTTTTAAAGATTTTTTATTTATTTATTTGACAGAGAGAGGGAACACAAGCAGGGGGAGTGGGAGAGGGAGAAGCAGGCTTCCTGCGGAGCAGGGAGCCCGATGCGGGGCTCGATCCCAGGACTCCGGGATCCTGACCTGAGCCGAAGGCAGACGCTTAACGACTGAGCCACCCAGGCGCCCCTCATTGGTTTACATTTAAGGAAAGTATACATGGTGCTAAATTGATCGGCCTTGGCCGGTGACCGCTAACCAACCACGAGGGTGTTCACTCTGGCCTGACCACGGCCAGTACCACACAGGCCCAGAGCTGCTGCCACGCCTTCTCATTTTTGAGTGCCCCAGGGTAGAGAGGAACAGTGATCAATGTTTTCTTGCAGACAGCAAGGAGCTACCAAGGATCATCCCTTCCGGCCTGCCGCTGCCTTCCAGGAGGGCCTTATACTCCAGTCAGGTTCTACATCCTGATTTTCTTCACGCGTCGCCTTCAGTCAACGTCATCAGCAATCGTAAGACCTGGTGGTGGTGGATGGGGGTGGGGGGTTGCCCCCCAAAACTTATCTTAAAAAAAGTGGAGGGGCACCTGGGTGGCTCAG